TATAAGGGCATTTTAAAAGCCAAATTTATTATGCAATTCCCATGAGTTAGAAATCTTAAAAAAAAAATCTAAAGCTTGAAGAAAGAATAGAATTTCATACCATTTGATATTTTTTATTGTGAGAAAAGTAATTAAGATAATCAATGCAAATTAGTGAAATGCAGTCAATTCTTTGAAAGATGTCCCAAGGACATAATATAAAAATTCTTACTCTTTCATTTATTCCCAAACTCCTAATTATGCCAATTGTAAATAGTAAAATAATTTTAAAAATGATCAAAAATCTCACTCAATAAAATTCACAAGAACACAAGAAATTTACGTAAATAAGGTTTTTTATGATTTACATTTATGGGGACACCAAAGAAATATTCACTAAGAAAAACCAAGAGAATACAAGATTAGTTTTAAACTCACAACCCTTATTCCACTTATACGCAAATCTGTCATTCTTTGGCTTAATGATATTCTTAAAGTCCATGTGACCTTTTTATAGATCAAGTACAAAGTGTTATCCTAATCTAATTATATTATGATATCCTAGTCTAGCTATAATTAAAGAATAGTCTAACTAGAATTCAAAACTATACAGAGTAATTAAATACTCTTAATATAGAGTAATCAACAAGTTTAATTGACCAAACTTTATTGAGAGTCTTTAATTTAATTATAGTGATGGAGACCAATTCACCAAGTAACAAGCAATGTTGGTAGTTTCTATCTAGAATATTTTGGGTAGATCAATATTATAAAGCATGCATCTTGCTCTCTCCAAAAGTGTTCAATTCATCTACTATGCAGCAATATTTTGTTGTGGTGTTTGAAAAATGGTATGATATCTAATGATTTTTTCAATCTTGCAGAATAGATCAAACTCACATTTGCTTCCAAACTATTGTGTGTTCAGAGTTGCTTGCTTTTTTTCCTAATTTGCTTCTGGATTAATGCCTTCCATTGTAGAAAGGTGGTAAACATTTTACTCTCCTTCATAAAATACGTCCACACATTCCTTCAAAACTCATCAATGAAGATCAACATGTACAATGATCGTCATTTTGATGCCATCGGAGAAGGATTTCGCAAATCTTAATGAATGTAGTCTACTTTATTTTTGGTTCGATGAGTTGTAGAGCTAAATTTCACTCAACACTGTTGCCATAGATGCAATACTCATAAAAATCTAGCTTCCCAATCTATTAACTACATGATAAACCACACTTACTCAGTTTTGTTATTCCTATCTTACTTATATGACCCAATCTCATATGTCATAAATGTTTGACATTGTCATCAAGATCATTGGATAGGACTATAGAAATAGTTTCAATAACGATTCTTCTCAATAGATGATAAAAGCCCCAAAACAATTTGCCTTTCATGATAATTAAGGCACCTCTAGACAACTTTAAGACACCATTCTGGTCACTAAATTTGCTACCCATCTTATCTAACAAATGTAAGGATATTGGGTTCTATTTTACGTCAGAGACATGTTTCACCTTAAGTGACCATACCATATCATCAAACATTTTGAACCAGATAGTGCCAATCCCAATAATTAGGAGAGAGTAGTCATATCTAATTATACATTGCTCTTATCAACAAATTGATAGATTGTAAACCAATCACACTTGGGACATATGTGAAATCAGCAACCCGAATCCATGACCCATATATTAGTTAGGTTATTGTTGGTAACCGTAAAAACACTATCAATTTCTTAAAAAGTATTTAATTTGTCTTTTACCATGTTTTCAACATTTTTAAGCTCTTTGATCTTTTCATCACCCTTGAATTTGTTGTAATCTTGAAGGTAATGTCCTTTCTTACCATAATTCCAATAAGTCTTCCTATCTTTTTTGTCTAGACTCTTTTCTTTGCTTCTCCCTTAATTCATAATCAAGTTTACTGCTTGATTTTCATTTTGGTACCATCTTCTTCTTTTTCAATTTTTTGGAGTTTAGAAACGCCCTAACATCCTCAAAAGTGAAGGTGTTTCAACCATATAGCATAGTGTCTACAAATTTTTTATACGATGTAGGTAAATAGGTTTGGTCTTTATCATCAATTTTAACGTTAATATTCTTTAAATTAAGAAATTTATCAATATAAGTATTAGCAAATATACCTTTACGCATTTTAAGAGTATACTATAGTTGCTTTACATAAAACCAATTCATTAGAGACTTGATCATATAAATGCTTTCGAGTTTAAGCCTCATTATAATAATAGATTTTTCATTTGTGACTTTTCTTAGCACATCATGAGATAGAGCTAGTAGAATAGCATTATGGGCTTTCTTTATAAGAACATTATTTGCTTTCTTTTATATCATTTTTTACACCATTATATAGATTCAAGAGAAGATGATCTCTCCCTTTTAATGCCTTCAATAATTCTTGTTGTACTAATAATGCACACATCTTAACATGTCATAGACTAAATCGTTTATTCTATTAAACTTTTCAATTTTGTACTTGGTGAATGAAGCTATCATCTTGAGATTCAGATTAACCTAAGACTTTGATTCTCTAATACCAATTTATTGTGAACATAGTGGAATAATCTCAAAAAGTCACTTAAGATCTTACACAATCAATATAATAAAAAAAGAAAAAAATCAAATACACTTACAAAAACATAAGAAATTTATGTGGTTTGATTTTCTGATGACCTACTTCAACGACATAGCGGCAAAGAAAGATTCAGTAAGAAAAATCAAGAGTTTACAAGTTCAGTTTCAAACTCACAAGCAAGATCTTAGGCAATCAATATAATAAAAAAAGAAAAAAAATCAAACACACTCACAAGAATATAAGAAATTTATATGGTTCGATTTTCTGATGACTTACGTCCACGACATTGCAGTTAAGAAATATTCACTAAGAAAAATCAAGAGTTTACAAGTTCAATTTCAAACTCATAACTCTTGTCCGACTTACACCTAAATTTTTCCTTCTAGATCTAGGTGCTCACTAAACTTTATCGTGATTTAATGATATTCTTTAAGCCCATATGACTTTTTTATAGGACCAAGTACAATTGTCTTATCTTAGTCTATTTAGGATTTAGTATCCTAAATTTAGCTAAAATTAAAAAAGAATCTGAACAAGTTCTTAGTCTAACTAGAATTAAAATTTACTAATCTAGCTGGAATTCAAGACTATCACAATAATATCCATCTTAATTAGTGACCTTTTTACGTCTAGCTTAGTGGTTAGCTCTTCACCAATAGCTACTTTGTTTGATAAGTTGTTGAGATTTCGCATTTCAAGCCAGAAGTGGCATATGTATTTTTGTTGGATCATCATCATGATCAAATTTACTATTGAATGCTCAAAAAAGGTGATATTTTTAAGGTAAACTTTCGGATAATGTTAATTATAATTGAATTGTGATATTCAGGTACATATCATGATTAGTGGCTAATGATAGAGTTTCAGAAACTCTATTATTTAAGTGATAGAAACGGAGTCTGTCCAAAACTAAAGTTGGAGACGTTAGAGCACTAGGCTTTGGAGTTTCTGGAAGCACTAAATTTAGTGCAACTTGGAACCCTACAGCTCCTAAGCCACCAACTCTAACGCAACAAAAAAGGCGGCCCAGAGTGGTCAACTAGCTAGCTTATCCAAGCACCAGCCCCACTGATCCCAATGCTCTAGTTTTTGGTGCTTCAAAATGTTCAATGTTATTTCCATTTGTTTTTCACGAAGAGTTACTTTTAATGAGTCAAAAAGATTGAGCTCAAAACTGTAGGAAGACATGCTGGATCCATCTCGAGGGGCAAGCAAAGCATGAGGAGGGGAAAAAAAAAATGAAATGACGTAAAAAAGGAAAGATAATCTCTAAATTACCAAGGATTTGAGAGTTTCGTATGAGATAAACTTTCATGCAAGTGCTATCTTGTCAGCTTATCAAGCTCGTGCAGTTAGCCTGTTGCTTTGCGTTATCATTAATCAATCAACATGACTAAATGGAAATTTTAATTCACGTCTTCTCTTCCCATCCTTGGTTGTATCCAATGCGATAAGATCATGCCGACGGAGTTATGGAAATCCGGACTCTAGAAAAGCACCAAAAAGGTAACGATTCAATCATTGAGTTGGGAGAAATTTTCCATGTCAAGACGACGGATTGGATCGCATCCCATCAATTAATCAATGCTAGCTCGGCTGCTTCATTAATTTCTAATAAAATAAATACAAGACAATGGCGTAAGCAATTGTAATCTTACATGCGGTTGTGTGGCTGGCTGCTATGACTTTTTGGCTAAATACCAACGATCCTGAGGATATGGTCATACAGATAAATTAAGAGAATCGCTTCTGCGTGAAGAATGATATATACCTACACCCACTAAACAAAGTAGGCAAATTTTCGTCTCATGAAAACGTGCGTTGCGGAATTGACAAATTAAAAATGCATGAACCCAAGCAATAGCCTTAAGTAGCAGCTATCCTTTGTTAGGAGACATATTCAATTATTTGCGGCAGCGCCTGGTGCTTATTTAGGAGCTATAGGACCTAGCCAAGGCTTATCATTTGAGGCATTGTGGACTGCATCGTGCTCGGATCACACATGCTACCAAATTAATCTCATCATCTTTGTAAGTGGGAGCCATTTTAATCATTTTTGTACCACTACTGATTGACATTACGGCTTGTATAACGTTAACTAGGTCGCCCCCTATCAAAAGGGTCTAATCTATGCTCATTTTGAAAATCTAATTTCTAGGACCTCGATTATTCCATATGTGGGAAAACCATTAATTCGGAAGTTAGTAATCATTAAATCTTGAAAAACAATGGTTCCTAAGGATCCTACATTGCAATTGAGAAGATACGTGAAACTTACTTTTGAGGATATGCAATTTAATTATTATTAACTCCAAATTCATAGTTCATAAATAAATTTACTGATTAAATTAAGTTAATAATATAGAAATATATTAGAATTTATTAATTTAAAAATTATTTGTAAATATATTGAACAGAAAAAATGCAATAAAACTTAGATATTAAGACTTGGAAGAACAAAAGAATCCCCATGAAGAGAATTAATTTTGCCTTTTTTGATGAACAAGGCAATGCTACGTGTCGGGGCCAAAAGTTTGGCCCAAATAGCACAGTCTAAATGCAAACCAACAATCATGAGATTTTGTATTTAGGGTAGAGACGCTCATGCTCCACTCTTGACCCTGACCCAAAAGAAAAGAACCCGTTTCAGAATCAGTCCGCGCTCCAATCACTGTCAATTTTACTCCCACTTGTAAATCAGATGTCCCTTTCAATCAGTAGCAAACATGCAAGTGTAAACACATCAACATCAGCCGTTGTTCTGCAAAATATTTTTGGAAACTACTAGTACTAGTTTGGCTCTATTTTCTACAAAAGAAACGGAACTTGGATAATAGCCTTTAGTTGGAGCAGTTACCCCGTATTTTTCACCATGAAAGTAATTGAACAGTAACAACTATTGTAAGCAGGCAGGGCAGTGAAGTATGGACTATCTACGAGACTCTGTGCAAGCCATCAACCAGTGCTCTGGGCATCATGAAAAGGCCTCTGCTCTCTAACAGCTGAGTGGCTGCTGGCGGATTTATCTCTAGTAACTTCCCCATCATCTCTTCAAGAGGTTCGTTCATCATCTGTTCATGGAGAGCATAGTGACCATATCCCTGGGAATTCAAAACGCAGGTTTACTTCATTCAAAGAAACATTCCCAAGATTCATTTTTATAACTCTCTTATATAGTAAGGGCATGAGGCTAAAACCTCAAGAAAAACGAAAGGATTAGAAGTTGGTTCGCCTCCCAATCTGCTTCGACTTAATTCCTGCACAATAGAATTTCCACTTCAAAACAGTGCTACCAATATATATATTTTCATGGAGAGATGAATAAATCTAAAATCAACAGCATGCTTGATATCATTGCAATAAAACTATAGAGTAATTTAGATCAAAATGTTAGGAGTGTGTTACTCTGATGAAGCTACTATGAATACTGTCCAATGCGCTCCCTTTTGAACTATAGGCCAATCAGGGATAAGATAAATGTAATTCAAGGATCATTATTTTTTTCTTGAAAATAGAAAAAAAATAGTATAGGTTTACAGACAACTGTTCTATCTCCAATTGAAACCTGCCCATTGTTTGTATATTATGAAAATAGTTAGCACCATGGTTGGCATCTTAGCCAACCATCAGATTAACTTAATCTTGTCAAAATGATAATGATGCTTAGGACTAGCATGTTGGCCGAACATAATTAAGGAAAAAAAGTACAATCTAGAAAGAATAGAGGATTGATTGCAGCTCATAATTTCTGGTCAGCACATCCCTAGGTTTTGTTAACCCGCAAATATAATCAGTTAAACATTTCAATTAACTTAAAGAGATATTCTACAATATGTCTTCACACAATGATGGGTGAAAGCCTATAGTATCTATAACGGTAAGCAAAGAATGTAACCAAAGAGTGAAGATTGACTGTTCAAGCAAACTGCATCCAACTTTTCCTCTGTTGCATATGATTGTAATGCAATGGTGTGGAAGTGTAAACAGATATATACATGTATGCATTTTTCCAAAAAAACAAAAAGAAAGGATATGCTTATGAATGCACTTGTAGCATGATATATTAACAAAATCAGATGAACAACTACCTTCATTTGCAACTGCAGAAACTTGACATGGTCAATAATATCATCCAGTGCAGTTGCTTGACCCCGCTACAAAAGTAAAATGTGATAAATCAGTGGATGAAAGCATTTCCTACTAAAAAAAACAGAAGAAGAAGAACCAAAGCTCCTCCATACGATAAAAGAACATTTGGTGATGCAATTTTGCTGCTTACCTCGTCCATGGCTCCTTCTATAGAGTTTTGTGCATTTTTTATGCAACTTAATCACAAAAGCAGCTAATTTATAGGTTCATATGAGTAAAATGCAAAGGAAGTTGAATGAGAAAGGCTTTTTGAGAATACAGGGGAAATGAGGTTATAAACTGATTAAGCTTCCTAATGATACATTTTATGCTTGTCCGTATAGAAATAAATTACCTCTACAGGATTTGGAAGCAGTTCCTGCAATGCTCTGATACTTTCAGCAATTCGTAGCCTGCGTTGCTGTATTATAGAAAAGGAATTTGAAATAAAATTAAAAATGCATCCATTGAAAATTTTTTTAAGAATCCAACTAAACAATGAGTCAACATCCAGATTCCAGATTCATGGATATCCAGAATGCGAGTGTAATAACCATCAATGTGTGCATGTTCAGATTCACAGTAAAACTAGTATGTTTAAAGGCTAGGAAAGATGATTTGCTTACACGATCACTTCCAGAAGCTCTCGATTTGCGTACACTGTAATGTGGTTGGGACAGGAAACTAAATGCAGAAATGGTTTCTTTCGGTTGAAGTTGAAAAACATTACAATCATTTTCATTTGGTTCTTGCATCCAGAAAGTATGAGTTTGCTGAAAGAAATGATGTTGCATTGTCAGCATTCTACTAATTCCAAGTTTGAACAGGTTCTTGTGGCAACACTCTTCGATGGATGCAACATAATTTGAAGATGGAGAAAGAAGAACTTCACCTGTGCATGGGACTCATATTCTGAGCTTGAAAATCTGCTCACAGATAGTCTATCATGTGGCCTCAAAAATCTTTCCTGTCAGATACAAACATAATCAGTCTTGAAATTAATAGCAAAAAAAATTTATCAGAAATTACCCCTACAAGAAAGAAAGATGATAACAATCAAATTTATGAGGCCGTTTTCTTATACGCTTGCTGAAGCTTCACAATTGTTGCTGTTGGTAGTGTAGGCAGATAGCTTTAACTTCCCATGCTCGGACTCTAGGGAATAGTCGTCAGGTTGAGAGCCGAAAGCCTTTCCTGCATTGTTATGCAGCAATTCTCTTTGAATTTCGGAGATCCCATCAAGGGCATGGATGCCGCCAACTGGAGAACCAATGCTCTCTAAGACTTCTGCAGTAGGAACCTTTTCAAGATTTTCTGTTAGAAATTCAACATAACTGTGAGGTGTTTTGGGACAATCAATCCACTGAGATAATGACTGGGGACTAAGCTGGTTCTCACTTCTTCCAGCTGCCATAGGAAAGTGTGGGTTTGGATCATTTACATAGTCATAAGAGAAATCACTGGCACTCCCACCAGAATTCAGTGACATCAGAGGGTTCTCACGACCTTGTTGTCCATCCATATTCCCAGAGTAAACTCACTCGATTCTTAACTAGTAAAAAATAAAGAATAAATCAACTACTACTAAAATAAAAAAAAATATTTATAACTAACAGATCAATATATTACAGCAATTAGCATGAAAAATGAGGTTACTCCCAGTGAAAAGAGAAAAACTGGAGCATATGGATTAATTTATCCTATAACCAGGACTTGCTTAGTTAAATATAACATGAATACCAGAGCAACAACCAATACCCCAAGGATATTGTTAACAGTTCCATCTCTTGGAACTGAAGTACAAGTAAAAACATAATGCCTGGCCAAATGTTCAGGAGGCACTTGGACTACCATGATTACAATTTAATCAGCATTTGAAGAAACTATAAGGATAATTGAAGAGTGATAAACAAAACGTGGGGATGTGGGCAGTGGAAACAAAGAAGGTGAAACAGATAAAAGAATTTATAATGAAATGCAACCAGCAAAGTTCAATCTAATAGTACTATTCAATCAAAGATTTAACACTGACAATGACTGATTATACTCAAAAGGAAAGAACATGTTATCCAGTTAACCTAGTTGAAAACGAGCTTTGAGAAGATAAAACAGGGCAATAACATGAATATTTCAAATTTAAGCATTAAAAGAACATATTATAAATATCTTAGCTCATGAGAGACAAGTTTATGTCAAGAAAGAGTTGTAGAAGTAGCATTAAAGAACCGTCAATACGCAACAGAGCAAGAGGAATATACAGAGGGGAAAAACCAAAACTTGGATGTAGAAAATTACTGAAAAGGTAAAAACCATGAGTTTGCCATCATCTTCTCAATCTTTTGTTCACAGCCCATCAAAATAATACAACATTCAAGGACAAAATTATTGTAAAACCTCAACAGGCCAAAGCAAAGAAACCCCAGCAAACAATGACAAACAGCTCATATGCAACCATATCTAAAGAAGAAAGAAATTGACGCTACAAGTCAAGAACACAAAACTCAGTAAAACACAACAAAGTTCCTACGATTTGAAGATATAAAAAATACCCATGTTAAACAATCATATGGCAACAGAAGAAATGAATACAAACAAACAAAACCTTGGATTCAAAGTTGAAGAATGATTTGGTCAAGGCAACTCTGCTATAAACAAAATGCAGCATGCATCTGTAAGTGTGACTTATATTCATGTACTCTCACATCATATATCAAAGTAAGAGGAACTTACATTGGTGATAAAAGGTTGGGTTTTACAAATCTAGGGTTTAAGGGAAGAGAGAGAGAGAAGAGAAATGGGCACCGGGCAGGGAAGCGTCTTTGGCTGTCACCTTTGCTGAGGGGATTGGTACGTACCATTTTGTGACAGGTCATTGCAGAGGTGGTGAAGGATCTACCGAAATTGCTATTTTACCCCTACACTACTCTCAACTCTACTGTTTATTTGGGCCTAAAAGAGGGAGAACCACGGCCGGGCTCTGGCAGGGCCTTATCGGGCTCAAAATTTTGGAGACTTATGCCCTTCCTCGTTTCTGAAATTTGATCTTCGTAATATTTATTTTTTATTTTGATTAGAAAGGCCGGTAAATCGGTCAAATTATAATAAGATAGTGTCTAAAATTGAAATTCTCATAATATTCTTTAAAAGAATAAATGTTCTGTTTTAAAAATATTTTAAAAATATAGTACGTGTAAAAACGTAGAAAGGTCAAATTTTAAAAAAATCTTATAATGTATTTGATTGAATTTAATATCACGAATTAAATAATTTCAATTTAATTTAAAAAATTATATAAAGTTTTCAAGTTTGACACGATATAAACTCAACTAAAAAAATTAATGAAAATAAGGAGAGATAGAAAGATTAAAGAGAAGACGTATGAAAATGGAAAGGGTAAAGAGAATTAATTGATGTCAATATAGAAATGGAAGAACTTGATTTATCCCAATGACCAAAGTGAAAAGGAAAAAAATTTTGAGGGGTTAATTTGGACTTTTTCCAACCACTAGACCTTTCAAAAGAAATGCCATAATTTTAATTTATCCAAAATACAAACGAAATGTGAAGAAGAGCACGGAAAGAATCAATGAGAATCATACGAAATATATTCCTCGGTGGGCCGGTGGCTTCCTTTCCTTCTCCCACATAAAATCACACGTGTCTTGCAACGACCTCTGCCATTCCCAGCTGCATCGAATTGTACGTTGGAACTTGGAACAATTCTTCAGGCTTCGACACCGAACCGGGCAATCTCGTCCAAAACGTACAACCGAAGAAGCAGCCTTTAGCAATCAAGCTTTTTACTTGTTTTGGCTTAGGATAAGCTCAATCTGAGAAGATCAAATCAATATTTCACTAGCATCACAGATTCACAAGTTGTCGGAAAAGGGCATATTCCTGTGTTTCCCAGTTCATAATTTGGGTAAGGCCGCTTTTGGGTTCAAGGTTATTAGCTTTCTCATCTCTGTTTCCTCCACAAAATCGTCAGGAAAATATCCATCAATTGCAGATCTGATCGTCACCTAAATCAGTCAATTATCGAAGGAATCAATCACAGTCATGGCGACTACCGAGTTTCTGCGAAGAGAAGCAGACCTTCTCCTTTCATCTCCCTTGATTGAGCTTCGTAAAGGTAACACTTTTATCTGTGTATTTCAATTAATTCTGTTTTTTTGTGTTGATGATGAAAACCCATATCGGTTTGATTGTTAATTTTTGTTCATATGGTCTTTTAATTGTTATAGTGTCATGTGGACAAAACTATGCCCTTTTGAGAAATATTCAAAGCTTTCCCTTGTGGGAAAATTCGGTGATGTTTGTTTTACATTGTCGGCAGGAGAAAATGGAAAATCCCGTGGACTCACGATTGAGAAGAAGATTGAGCTTCTCGAGACCTTGACCGGAAAAGTAACGTTCTTTATAGCTGCCTAATGGGCCCATTTTAGACTAATTTCCCATTTGATATGTCGATTGTGAGATCCACATTGTGGTATCAATATCAGAAAATGAAATGATTAAAATTTCATTTGTTTGGTGGTTTGTGTTGGATTGATTTGACCTGTTTTTGCAAATCTCCAGAACATTTGAGATGTGATCCTTCCAATTGAAATATTGGTCTCTTTGATTTTACTCTTCATCTAGCTCATTTCTTTTGCGAACCTTGTTTTATGCTGCTTGAGTTATTGGTTTCATTTCTGTATTTGTTTTGGATATTTCTGGAAGAAGCTATCCATTCCCCCAAATGATTGTTTATTTGCTGCAGGTTTCAAATCGACGTTCTCGGAGATGGCTAAATGATCGTTTGTTGATGGAACTTGTTCCTCGGTTGAATGCAGAAGAAATCAGAGGCTTATTTGCTCCACCACCATGGGGTAAAGATATATCCTACTGAAGAACTCTCATTTCACTGTATGCTCTGTGTAGTGACCACTAAATCTCAATTACTGTTATTCATTGATGCCTAAGTAAAATGGGTACAATAGTTAATTCATGATAACTAAAGGGATGAAAACATGATTGTTGTCTAGCATACTTAATGGCCTTGGTGTCTCATTTTACTCATGATGATTTGTTTTGTCTGTTGAAATCACAAGCAGTCCACCACAGTAGTTTCTTTAGCCAATTAGTCCAGAGTCTATGATATTAATATGAATTTTCGAATTCATTCACAGGTGATGATGTGCCACCATCAGCATTTTGCATGACGAACATTGGAGAATGGGACAAGTTTAGGAATATAGACATGGATAAAGAGGTCATTTTGCTTCCCTTGTTCATGAAAACTTTTTCAATCTCTTTAAAAGTTTCTGTAATTGAAGAAGATGAACTTAACCAATTTCCAGTATTTGGAAATTATCACTGAAGGTAAGTGTATGATAAGAAAGTTCCATTCTTTGCTTGCCTTTTTTTCTGCATGAGCACTTAATGCCTCATTTAACTTCATTTAGATTGTAAGTTGAATTTATTGTTAATAATCTAGCTAGATTATGGTGTGGGAGTGGCATGTAATGTGCAGCATGCTAAAGCCATTGTCTCTTCCTCTTCTTAGGCAAATATTATTGGTGCCTTAAATAGCTCATCTATGAAGAAGAAATTTCATGGTGATGGTGATAAGATGGCTGTCTTGAATGCATGGCAAAGAATTGATTGTCGAACAAGGGAGGCACTAAGACGTAGTTTTCTTTCAGAGCTTATTGCAGGCTATGAGGTACATGATTTTGCTTTTGCTTGCGGAGGAATGATTATTGTTAGTGGGTCTTCTCTTGAGCTTTGCTTTTAATTTGTTTGCAAAAGATCTTCTTTCTAATTTGTTTGCCTTTTTCATGTGCAAGTGGGATGGTACTGGCTGGATTAATGTCACTATGCTATAGATCCCAGCTTAATATTTGTGCCATAATCAAAGGCCTAAATATTGGTTAAGACAGGTTTAGTGGGTTAGCTTTGTTTAGTAGCACTCTAGGCTCCAGACGTGTTCCATCACCCATAATAGTTGGAATGTTGAAATGTATATGCTTGAAAGGCTAGAGAGCAGATTTGTGGTTGAAAATTTTATGTCATTGACTACAAAAATAAGTAGGCAACTAATGTACGAGAGTGAAATATAATTTGACATATGACCAACCCAAGTTCAAGTAGTCTTTCGGCTTTGGCTTAGGTGTAAATGTAAAAGGCTGAGTTGGCTTGTTATTATGCAACTTCACATATAATTGTGTATTTGTATAACCCAGTTTAAATACGTAATGCTACTGTTAGGAGGAATAAACTTCATTTTTATTTTCAGGATTGCATAAGAACCTTCATCAAGGAAAGTGGAGATGGAGATGTCCTTGAATTACAGGTCCAAGATCCTTTCCACAGATTATTGCTGCATGGTGTCTGTGAGGTAATCAATCCCATCAAATTTTTTTTTTTGTTTTTAAATGTGGAGGCTTCATTAAATGCTAATTAAGCAATTAGGTTTCGCAAAAATGCTGAGTTGGTCCAAACTGGATGTGAGCCATTCCTATTAAATGGAAAATATTGTCTAGAAAAGGGCTTTGCATTTGATTCTTGCATTATCTGCTTTAGATGCCCCCTATAACCAGTGCATTTATTGTTGTAGAAGGATTTCTTACATGGTGAAAGTTTACTAATTCTTTCCTTGAACAGTTCTACAACTTGGTCTCGGTAACAGTTACGCAGTCAAAGGATGCAAAGTCACTGAAGGTGACAAGGATAAAGAGGAAGAAGACGGGTGTGGTTGAGCTCCCGAATCTCACGTTGTCCCATTTCCTGAAAATGTCAAAGGAGGGCATTTGGTAGTTCTATGGGCAGGAATTCTCATCCATGTTGATAAATAAAATTGGTTTGCAATGTTGCACTCTAACTTCATGTATCTTGATGAAGTAATTCATTTGCCTTTAGTCATCACCTGTACAAAGCTAGGGTGGCTAAATTTATAATTTCTTCCAGTCAACAAAACTGGTTGATTGCAAGTTTAGGGTCTAGTTAAGAAACGTGATTCCTTCAAACTCTTGTTGTACTTTATATGGATAGTCCCGTATATCTGTTCCTGGTCAACAGCTACCCCCTTTTTTTTTTTTGAGTGTTTATTTTACAGCTGAAATGGCTCATGATATTTGTGGCTTTTAAGACCATAAGTCATATTCAAGTTATTCTGGTTAAAATTTAGAGGAAGAAAATCCGAGAAAGGGATATGATCATGGGCTGTTGTTTTTCTTTTCCAATTCCTATTAAGTAAAATTTGCTTATGTTTGATTTTTGGTGCCATCCAAGGATGCTCCAAAGAATGCTGATCCATTGGAGGGAAAATCCTCTCCCTGCCTAAACATTTCTTGCTCAACAATTTCAACAGCCTTTTAGAAATCCCTTCTCTGATGAAGTATTAGATTAAAATTGGTAAATTCCTTTTGCTCGTGGACAGAGCCCAACTCAGGCTTTAGCAAATGCAGGGAAAAATTAATTTGGTTGTGGTGAGCTTTATAAAAGAAATGTCAAGTCCTAGTTTTGACTTTAAAAAAGTGGAAAGAAAGAAGCAAAGTACTCTTTGTCTTTCATCCCTCTGAGAAAAGGATGGGTCCCAAGTAATTTAGAAAGAAAGAGGAATGAGAGAAATACAGTTCTTTGACTTTTTCCAATTATTACTTATAATACCTCGCAGGAAAGGAACGAAGATGGAAAGAAAGAAGACTTGATGAGAGTAGTGCCCAAGTAATTTGGGAAAAAAGAAAAGAAAAGAAAAGAGAAATACAGTTCTTTGACTTTCACTAATCTGTGGTTAGTACTTATTCTCTGAAAAAGATCAGAAAAAGACCAGAAAAAGAAGATCAGAGAAAAGTAGTGCCCAAGTAATTTAGAAAGGAAAAGAAAAGAGAGAAATACAATTCTTTGACTCTTTCCTGCTTGTAGGTTCCGAGAAAATGATAGAAGACTAGCAGCCAAAAGTACCCAAGTAATTTAGAAAAGAAAAAGAAACACAGTTCTTTGACTTTTACCAGTTGATGTTAGTATCTATTATATTATTATACCTCGGAGAAAAGGACAAAAAATGGTAAGAAAGAAGACTTAGAACAGAGCAGTGCCTCTTCTTCCCAAAAACTGATGGGGTGTAATGGGGTCAAGATTTTGAATAAACAAGTGTAACGAAATTAACTATGTTGTCATTTTCGTACTTCACAATATTTAAACTCCATTTATCCTACTGTAACATAATGAACATGTCGATGTACGCTTGTTGATAAATACCCCCCAAACTGAAGTCATCTGTTCCAACTCCAACAAAAGTGAGAGTCTTTCTCTTTTCTCAAACTCGAATCGTTGTATGAACAACATGGCTAAATCACCCGTCAAATACTATGTGGTAATCTCTCTTTGTTTGCTTCTTTATGTGCTGATCCTTACTACCTTCAAAAGAATGAGTCGGGTCGAGTCTTAAGTGGGTTTGAATCTTGAATCTTGATTCTTGAACAGGTTGACGCATTCACTGACTCAGCCTTCAAGGGAAACCCAGCAGCGGTTTGTTTGTTGGAGGAAGAGAGAGATGAGAAATGGCTGCAAGCAGTGGCTACTGAGTTTAATCTCTCTCAGACTGGTTACTTGACCCGGATCACTAACCCGGCCTCTCCAAACCCCCGGTTTCGACTTAGATGGTTCACCCCGGTTGCTGAGGTCAGTTTTTCTCGATTCCCTACACCGTCATTAATAGTTTCATGATAATTTCATATTCTCCTATTAAATGCTTCATGGGCCGATTGCTTGTTCAATAGCTCAAGTATCCTTGATTGAACTTAGGAACTTGACCCGGTTGTAATTGGTAATATAGGAAATGACAGGGCACAATGCAATCATTCCTACTTGGAATGTGCATTAGACTTTTCTTTCTTTCTCTCAATTGTGTGTTAGATAATCGTACTCTGCCTTTTTTGGCAGGTTAAGCTATGTGGGCATGCAACCTTAGCATCTGCGCACACTCTCTTTGCAACCGGTTTGGTAAATTCAAACATAATTGAATTTGACACACTCTCCGGAATCCTCACTGCTAAAAAGGTTCCAGATGTTGATCCAACCGATGTCTCCGGAATTCAGACTGATGGAGCACATGATTGCTTTCTAATTGAACTGAATTTTCCTACCGTTCCCATCACTGAATTCAATTCTACTGAGGTTTCAGCTATTACCAAAGCCTTGAATGGTGCTCCTCTCATTGATGTCAAGAGGACAACTACCGCATCTGATCTCTTTGTAATTTCTTTAATCTATTATTTCTTGATTTCTCTTCTGGGCCTGTCTTTTACTATAAATTGGATCCAATTTCTTCCATTTTCTTGGAGACAGATAAAAGTAACTTTTGAAATAGTAGTAGGATAAACAGAAGTGGCATGAATTATAGTCCTGCTTTCCTTTATTTATTTATTTATATTTCTTGCAAAAGCAAAGAGCATCTCTTGTTAGTACCCAATAATAAAAAAAAAGAGCACCTCTTATTGCTGTCAATTTATGATTTGAAACTTGTATGCTTTTATGCTGTTACCAGATCTTCAAGTACAGTGTTTGAGTAACATAATGAAAGAGGGATGGTATATATTTGGTGACAGGGGGATTTGTAATTAGATCTCTTTAGTCTTTTCTGAAAAGATTATTGACTGCAGGTTGTGCTCGCATCTGGAAAATCTGTTATTGAGATAGAGCCACAGTTTGATGCCATACTGAAATGTCCTGGACGAGGCTTAATTGTTTCAGGGGTTGCTCCTCCTGATTCTGAATTTGATTTTGTCAGTCGATTCTTCTGCCCAAAATATGGTATTAATGAGGTAAAATATTACACTTAGTCTCAAGCAATTGCTATTTCTTCTAAGCATTTATTTTGATAAATTTACACTGTTGTATGCCCTTTTGTTGAAACTGGAGCATGTTCCAATTTGTGAGCAGGAACATCTAATAAGATGCATCTCTCTGAGAAATCATGTACCTAGAAAGAACTGTTTGGCATTAGTTATCAAATTGGTCTGCTGTATTAGATGAGTATCAAAGCCTGGAAAAAGAAATGAAGTTGCTTTATTGCAAAAATAAACAAAATAAGCCAATTCATCTCAAGTTTCTAGCAAAACCATTCGAAGTTTGTGAATGTAGAAAGTGCCTGGATAGAGGCATGATACTGAGATACATGCCTATATGTTCAAGGCCTCTATAGACTGCCTGGAAGATGTTTCTCTCTGACTGTTCACTGATAAATCATTATTTTTCTAGAAGATGGGTTATGCAGGTGCTGCCATGATAAAACTAGTGCAGACATGCTTATGTTGTACCACTTGTTCTTATCTCTTTCTCATATCTATCAGGATCCGGTTTGTGGGAGTGCACATTGTGCCCTGGCACCCTATTGGAGCCAAAAGCTGGGAAAGTGTGATTTCGTCGCGCATGCGGTATATCTCCTTTTCTTTTCCTCTGAATCATTCACTGAAACCATTCTTGTTATCACTTGTTATCATATTGATTGTGTTGTTTACTTTGCTCAGGCATCACCTAGAGGTGGAATAGTGAAGATCCATTTAGATGAGCAGAACCAGAGAGTGCTTCTGCGAGGAAAAGCTGTTACTGTGATGGAAGGCTCTCTTTTGGTCTAGAATTGGAGTTAATTTCTGTTAAGGGTGTATGGTGAATTGCAGATTGTAACAACAGTTATTGGGTGCAACAATTCCCTGTAATTTAATTAACAGACTGTGTTCTGGTTTATTACCTTTTCTTGGGAAGCATGCTATATAATAAGATGTCACCCTCTCATTTCTGCTAACTATGGCACCAAATGTGATGAGATGTCATTGAATTTCAATACCTAATCATTTCAGGAATGAAAGTAAATAATAGAGGCATCTCTGAGGCCTCATTTCCTGTACAACTTCGTCAGTAGACTTCGCTCACGGTTTCCAAACTATGAAGAGTTTTGGCTAGCAATCTTTGGTATTGATCGAAAGCAACAAGCTGCAATATATAGGACAATTGCACTGCTTGTTGGTCACTTCTCTTTTTCGTTTTTTATCTCTCTTTCCCTCTTTATCTCTGTTTTATTCTCCTTTTCCGCTTTACCGCATATTACTTACCAATGCAATGGCAATTGTAAATGAGGTTCTTGTGATGAGGAGAGGAAGCATCGCAAACAAGTAACGGATGTATCGGAAGTGATTGAGAAAAAGATTGGAGCAGTTTTTGAAACACTAAATGCTGTAGCAGGTGGAAGAGAATAAGAAAATAATAAGTGTTCTGAGTGAGAATAGTCTAAGGAGAAAAACTATGAGTCAGTGGTTCTGAAAAAGTTCCCTTTTTTGAGTTGTGAAGACTCTATATATATAGTGTCAAAAATAACAGTTACAAAAAAAAATTTTAATACGCGTAATAAATAATATTATTAAAAAGAGTTTTAATGTTAGGTAACTGTTACTGAGAGTTAATATTGAGTAACGGTTAAAAATTTATTATGTAACTATTGAGATAATTATTTTTAATAAAACTTGTTCTCGAGTAAGAGTTAATAAGGAAAAGCTGTATGTGAACAGGTACAAGAGAAGAAGCTATACATGAACAGGTACAAGAGAAAAGACTGTACGTAAACAAGTATAAGAAAACAAGAAAAAAGTAAAAACATTTCTAGTTCACGGAAAGGTTAAGAGAGACCTCTTAACTACCTTCATATTTGAGCCACCAAGCCAAACTCTCCTGAACATCCCAATATGAAAGTAACCCCTGAACCCTGCTATTTATTCTGGATTACTTTCACTGTCATTTGTGTGAAATTATTATTTTATACAAAATAGTTGTTCTACTTGTATTAATTGTTCCACATGGAGTAATACTCCACATATTCTAGTTGTTCTGCGTGAAGTAGTGTTTCACTTATAATGGTTGTTCTCATTATTCTTTATATAATGTTACGCAATAAAATGATTTTAGAGAATAAGTATTAACCAAAATCGACTATCTACATTTTACCCCTGTATAAGAATACATTGTTAAAATTAATTCTTATATATTAATTTAAAATATAAAATTTTTATTTTGTACTATAACGTATTGTACTGTATTACTTTGAGTAGTCAAGCATCGAGCAATACCACTTTAGATAGTAACACCCTAGCCAATAATGTTTTAAGTAGTAACATGTTACTGTTTTATGTCAATATTTTTTTTTGTAATATTTGATTGATTTCGTAATAATATTTTTCATATAAATAAGATTTTCAAGATATATATTTTTTTAATATTTGATTGATTACGTAATAATAATTTTTCATATACATAAGATTTTCAAAATACAAATAATAAAAGTCAATCTTTTTCATAAAAAACCCTGATTCTATATGATTTATAAATATGAAACTACTATGAATAATTTTCTGTATTCAAATTCAAAGTAAAGTAAAATAAAATTTAGAGCAAAGTTGGTTCTTTTGAGAAAAAATTAGTAAGTAAGTTTTTCTTTTTCTTATAGTTTTTTGTTTGATTTATTTTTTTAAAAGAAAAATAAATTTCTCTTACTTGTTGCCCTCTGCATAAAATTTTTTTTATTAAAATATGAAAAAAAAATTTATGCATGAGATGATTTTATATATACATTCAAATAAATTATTTGATTACAGAAAAAAATCACAAAGTAAAAATATTTATATTTCAAAAAAAATAAAGATTGCCTAAATTGTTTTTTTTTTTCAGTAAAAGCTGCAAGTTGCAATTTTTTTGATGATTTTTTTATACAGAATTTTTTTTTTATCTACAGCAAAAGCTGAAAGTTGTAAAAAAATATTTTTTTATTAAAAATAGGGCCCGCGAGCTCCTTTTTGTGTAGCTTGCGGCAAGTGCCGCGAGCTTTTTTAAGTGGGGCCCACGGCATATGCCGCAAGCCTGTCAAAATCAAGCTCGCAGCAACAACGAAGCTCGCGGCATGCCGCGAGCCTTTTAAGCGAAGTGCAGCGAGCCGCCTCTTTTATTATTATTATTATTTTTTATTTTACTTTTTTTATTATTATAATTGTTTTGTTATATATATTAATAATAAATATATATTTTTATTATTTTATTTTGTTATTATTATTTTTATTATTATTAGTATATGTATATATATATATATTTAATTTATATATATTTTTTAATTGACAAATATATAAATAATAAAATTTATTGCATATGAACACTTATCTCTTTTTCCATGATCATGTTTGTAGTTTTCTTTTCTCGTCGTCCTCCATCTTACTCTATGCCTAGAACACGCTTCTCTCTGAAGATCCATTATGGTGAGCTTGAAAGGGCTACAACAAGGAAAAAGACCACTGTACATAACAAAAAGAACAATGATTTCGAATTAGTTGCTCTCAAGAAAATCAAAGTAGGAAAAAGTGGTGAAGTCCCTCCTATCTTTGAAAACTGGAAAGATGAAATTATTAAAGAACGAGGAAAAGATCGATTTTGGGAAGAAGTTCGTGCTAGACAGGTTGACAAACATCCCTCTGAGCTTGTTGGATATGATTGGAATCGTCTATGCTCAGAAGCACCTCCTCATAAAAGAAGTGGTATTCCAAGACGATCAATTCTGAAGTTCAGGTTTGAGCGTGGTGAGTTTCCCCTTTCTACTACTAAGTTAGGCTCCAATTCTCAATTTGTTCATGGTTGGGATGAGTGAGTAAATAAGATGTTGAAGAATCCTACTTATGTTAAACTTCTCTCGTCTGTTGGGAAATTGGATGCTATACGTATCACTTCTAAGCTCAATATTTGTAGAGAGAAGAGGATGGATGTATGGCATGCTATTCTTGTAAGGTGGAGTACTTTCTCTCATACTATGATTACAGCATGGGGAGAATTCACCTTCACTCTGGAAGATGTATGTGTTCTCTTGGAACTTCCTTGTATAGGAAAGCATGATTTTCACTTTATTAAACTTTCTGAAGAAAAGGTATGTATTCGAGACTTTTTCTTTGATCTCTTTAAAAGTCTGAGTAAAATTTCGAAAGTTGCACACTTTTCCAACTGGATAGGGGTTTTTTATAAACAATTCAATGCTAAGGGATTTGAAATTGGTTCTCTTGAGTACCCAGATCATAAGCATGAGCTAGGAGCTTTAGTAATTTTTTGGTTAGCACGACACAAACTCCCAAGGTGTCCAGATGATGGTATTTCTTCAGCAGTTGTTCCTTTAGCAATAAAACTTGTTAGTGGAATACGCTTTCCTCTTGCTCCACTATATTTAGGATCTTTATATAAGAGACTAGACTTGTACCAACTCAAAATTATTGAATCAGCTGAGTGTTATAGAGTTTTGACTTATGTGGATGCTTCTTTCATTCAGATGTGCTTATGGGAAAGTTTTGGTACTTGTACTCTCATGCCTAATGCATATCCTTTTGCATATTTTTCTATGACTAACCTTTTATCCAGAAACAACTATAGAGTTTAGGCATGGCATGATCGACTACCAAGAGGTAATGTTCTTGAAGTGATGGATGTTACAAAAGAATTCAATCCCAGACCTTATGCGTAGCCTATAAATGGATTTGGTGATCCTATAGTTTATTATAACCTTTATCTTTTACAGTCTAGAAGAATGAGCTCACGAGGTATCAACTTTTGTTTATGGGTTCATAGTTCCTAATTGCCTTCTATGATTGAGAGTTCTAGTGCTGGTGGAGATAGAAATTTTCGTTCTGTCGAAATGTATTCTCCTTATAGAGTGGCACATCAATTTGGATTTAACCAACCAACTCCACCTGACTCTTCTTCATCTACCAGCTGTTCTTCTTGTGTTTCTTCATTTCTCATGACAGGACTTTTACTCCGTTCATATAAACTAAAGAATTGTACTATTTCACCTTTTGATAGAGTTGGTATCCATACTTCTGGATAGTTTGCTTATTAGAGAGAGTGTCTTGGAGAATGGAAATCTTTTACTGTGCCATTAACTAATCCCACAACTCATTTTTACACTCCTCATGTAAGTAATAATGATATATCCTTGTGCTTGATTCCTCTTAAAAAGAAGAAATGTATAACTGAAGAAGAAGATTCTGCACCTCGTGCTCCTACTCGTTAATCAAAAGAAAAACACGCTTATCGAAAAGTAAGTTCATTCATTTTTTATATATTTTTTATTTTTTTATTTTATATATATATTTTTATATTTTCTCTTTTTTTTGAGAGAATCAACTACACGAGTAGAGCCTAATTCAGTTGAAGAGGAAGAAACTTCTAAAGTAGAGATCGACAAAGAATCATGTGACTCTGAACGTAGTGATGAATCTGATGATG